AGTTTACTTATGAGCCCGTGGTATCTGTGCTGTTTGGCTATATCCTCTATGCATTTCATTTCAGACCGGATTGCTGTTTGGGAAGAGGAGTGCGTATGTGCTCTCTTGATCAAGGCTTTGAAAGTCGCGACTTCGTACTGTGGAGGGTCACAGGACCCTGCTGGTATGTGTAAACAATCTGAGCTCAATTTGCGATAAATCGCTGTGTGGACGGTTGTTCTCTCAATCATAATGCTAATGTCTAGGAAGTGAGCCTCTGTATGGTATGCCTGGTCTATTTCTATAGTTAAGCCATACGGATTGTCATTGATATCATCAACTAGTGCAGTAATGTTCGGCTGGTCTTTCCATAGGATTAGAATATCATCAATATACCACTTATATAGTAGGATGTGGGAAATATTTTGGGAGAAACTCCGATTCCAGTTTCCTCACTACTATTTCACACAGGTCTCCTACAATGGGGCTGCCCATTGGCTCCTCTTTGTTGCTCATACGTTATTCCTTTGAACTGGAAGAAGGAGTTGTGACAAAGCAGATGTGCCATTTCAAGGATGTGTTGTCCGGTAAAACGTTTATGGATACCTGTTTCTGTTACAGTACTCCGGTGTAGATATTCTCTCATTTTTTGAATAACTTACATGGTTGATTGTTGGTTACAATTGACATTAAAGTTATTTTTATAAAAAGTTTTGTTAAAATATTATATGTATTATTCTGTATAATTTAATCCTGATCTATCTCCCTTTGTAAAGTCTAAAGACTGAAGAGGAGTCATTAAGACACAAATTGCATCTCCTTCAATAAAAACTATATCAACAACTGCTCCTTGTGTAATGTGTTACTGAAGAAAGCCAATAGCTTTTAATTCTTTAAAGTGTACAAAACCAGTAACAAAAACCAAATTAAAACATTTTTTGTTCTCTATGAATGATTCTGCCTGAAGAGAACAATTATATAACATCGAAAGTACTTGCAAAATAAATTATTTTTATGTAATGCTAACAGAGTGGTATACATTATCTTTTTCTATAATTTTTAGCTATTACCTATAAGCTGACATTTAATCTGATATATTCATCAAATTTTTAATTACAATATTCTACATAATATTAATCTACTCAAAAGAAATACTCCTATTATATTCCATTTTATACTTTTCTAATAATTTTAAGAATATTATTCAATACATCATCTATTTATTTTTGTATTAATTAATTAAAAAAAAATACAATTCTTTAGACTTTTTAGATTTAATGGTTTATAAACTTGTAAAATAATAACTTTAAAACTGTTAAGAAATTTTGTAAAAAATAGAAATATTTATAAATTGAACCGTTTATTTTGAAAGTGGTGTAAGTCCATTTTTTCTTCTTTTAAGATATTTAAACATTTGCATTTTAGTTAATTCAAAAATATAAATAAAGTGTACTAAGTTTGACAATGTTACTATGACTTTAGAAATATGTAAGTTGATTGCATAAAGACTTCTATGTGAATTTAACTAAATGAATATATTCTTTCTGGGTCATAAATGGATTTACACCACTTTCATAATTATTGAACTGTAAAATTCATTAAATTTTTATTATGTAAAACTCAATTTCACTGGAAACACATTGTGTTTTATTTTGATTTTGTTTATATATAATAACAAGAAATAAAATAGCGTTGTTTATTCTGAACATTAAAAATATTTACTTATTGTTAAACTATTTTATAATAAGTTTATCATTATCATGAGCTAATCATTAGACACTGCTTTTTATATAGGTTCATTACATGGATTTTTTCCATTCCATCAAATTGTACATTTGTTGGTAAAATTCATAATTTTACTCCTCTGTTGTAAGAGGCTATCCATAAATGATGTCCACGCTGGAAGGGAGGGAGGTGGTTTAGCATTAGTGAACATCCATTTATTTCATTAAATTTTATACAGTTTATGCATTTTATTGTGGCCGTCAGCCATGATATGTTATATTTTCTATATTTTATGTTGTATTAGTATTAGAGTTTCCTTTCTCTTTGTCTAAAACTGTCTAGAACTTTCTTTTCTCTAAACCTTCCTATAACTTTCTTTGTCTGAACCCCTTTTTGCCCTTGGGGGATTACCCTCTTCGGAGAAATAAAGAACAAAGGAAAAGGGACTGAGGCCCGGAAGCAAAACGGAGAGAAAGACGATCAGATTGAGTGGAGATCTCGAATAGGTAGGAGGGAACAGAGAGGTGCTCCTACAAGTGAAGTGATCTGAGACGAAGCGATCCAGAGAGAAAAAAAAAGGAAGGACTGTAGACGAAAAGTCTACAAGTGAGAGGTAATCAAAGACAACTCAATTCGAAAGACAAAGACTGTAGACGAAAGGTCTACAAAATAAGAAGTGACCTAAGAATAAAAAGTGCAGAGAGAGAGAGAGATCATCGAGGGAAGGCCTCTTAGTCCAAAGTGTTCTCCGACCAAGGGCTCATCGAATCTAAACCCGGGTATTTCTACTTATTTCCTTGTCTATCTCTATATCCTATATTCTTTCATCTTTATTCATAAGTTAGTGTAAGTTAGCGTAAGTTAGTTAAGTAATTTTGGTCCTCGTCAGGTTTTTTGTCGCGTGGGTAATAGATAACTGTTTTCGAGGTGTACCATTGGGCACCGGTGTACACATAAAATTCGGAAAATTGTAAAGTTGGGATCCAATAAACGAAACTGTTCAGTGAGAAAAATAATACTTTGTGTTGAGACTCTTTTTTTTGTACCATTTCACTCGCGGGATCGTGTACCTCTCACTCTGAACACCACATTATTATATTTATTTCAGTTTCTTGTGTGTTTCATTTCTACTTACAGTATCTATCATTCATAAAGTAATGAAGGTTTTAATGGGGGTCAAGTTATGTTGGACATGCATGAAGGAGAAGGGGTTAGTTACAAAAACTTGGACAAACTGAGACAAGAGGGGGGAGTAAAAATTTCAAGAAAAATGCAGATCAATTTATGGACAGCACAAGTGCTTAATAATTAGACTGCAGAAAATGGACTTACACCACTTTCATAATCAATGGTTATGCAATGTCATTTACCGATGAATTTTCAATTCATCAAAGTGTATGTTATTTTAAAATGCTAAGTGTGAATTGTTTATAAATAAAAAGTTCACACTAAGTTGTATATATATTATGTGATTTCTCAATTTTTTCCAGAAATGGACTTACATCACTTTCAAAATAAACGGTCCAATTCTGTTTTCTACAAAATGTCTATTTGTATAAAAAAGTTTATAAATACAAATTTTAAATTATAAAATGATAAATCAGTAATGCCAAACAATCTGCCATATTATCTAGCTATAATAAAGTAATTTAACTAGGAGACAAGTCTGTAATCAGTTATATAATGAATTTTGAATTACAGTTGCATCCTCATAAGTTGTCATAGGTATAACTCGACACTGTCGGTTAAGTAGTCAGTTTTCTGTGGTCCCGGCTGACTTACATAGGCATTAATGTTAAAAAACTCTGGTTTACTCAACACCGTTTAACTCATCAGCACTGGATAAATTGACATACCTTTGCTGTCCCACACTCATTTAGACGTCTGATAAGTCAACTCCCCTCTGAAAAAAATGAGTTCACACAGTGAGATATGAACTCATTTTTTTCAGGAGGGTAGTTGACTTATTTATTAATATATACATATTAATAAAAATGCCTTAACATTTTATGTATTTTTATATATAAAATAATAACAGATAAACAAAAAGAAAATATACAATCTATATCAATGTCACAGCAGAATCCAATTTTGCATTTTCTCACCTCATGTNTAACATTTTATGTATTTTTATATATAAAATAATAACAGATAAACAAAAAGAAAATATACAATCTATATCAATGTCACAGCAGAATCCAATTTTGCATTTTCTCACATCATGTGTTATTTGTAGCATGTTTCACATTTCTGTTAGAAATGAATGTCTGAAAGCTAACAACGCTTATGCTGATCAAAAAATACAAACTTGTTTCTGAATTTGAATGTAACAAAACTTCACAAGCCAAATTTGCAAAACAAAAAACCTTCCAAAAACAGCATTGGTGGGAATCCTGAAGAAAAAAGAGGAAATTAAAAAACTTTTTCTTGGATTTTCATTGTGGCTGTCTCGAAAACACCAGAGAAAGTTGCTGTACAAAGATGTCGAAGATGTTCTCATATGTTGGCTAAAGCAAATTCGTTCGTTGAATCTTCCTGTTTCAGGACCGATACTGAAACAAAAGGTGATGGAAATTGCTGGAGTACTTGGAGTAGAAACCAACTATAGTGCCAGTGATGGATGGTCAGAGAGGTACTGTACATTGCACTACTGTATTTTCCTAATTGTATTATTGTGTTTTTTTTCAACTTCGCTTTAGTCCTTATACCAGATAACTCGACACATTTTCACTTCCCCTTGGGGTGTTTACTTATGCAGACTTGACTGTAGTTAATTAAATGTATATTTTATGCTTAGAAAATATGATACATTATTTCATTACACAAATCTGAAATAAAGTTTTATTTATATAAATATACATTTATTTATAACGGATTTAAAAATGTCTCTTTTAATATATTATTATCCATCAACAAACAATGAAGAACTAGCAACTGTAGTTAATTCACTAAATCAATCATTGTATCCTTAACAGTAGAAGGAACACTAACATTTTTCTCTTAGTTAATGGGCTATCTTCAAGCATAGACTGACGAAAGTGAAAAGCCAGTGTTAATTAGGAAGAAACATGAGATAATGATGCTTCTTTGCACTATCCTATCATCACTCCTAACCAACACTGACATTCCACTTTCCATGTCTGAGGATGACTTGTAAACCAGGTTGAAAATGTTAGTGTTCCTTTAACTTCATCTACTATTAATGATGATTGATTTAGTCTATTAATGAAGAATATGGTGAATACAAAATAATATATATTTATACTTAGAGAAAAATAAACTAATTATCATAATACCTTAGCTCTTGCATTAACATCAGCATTATGCTCTATCAGCAAAGTTGCCATGTCTGTATGACCCTCTTGAGCAGCTAAGTGAAGTGAAGTAAACCCAGCCTAAGAAAATAATTAAATTAATTAACAAAACATATTTACAATAGGGAAATATTTATAAGCAATTTATATTATGAATATCCATTAAATCTTACTATTAAAACTTAAAAGGTATTATAATCAAATCAAGTCATTTAAAGCCAAACAAACTGCCAAATTGCCAGTTCATTCTGTTCTAAGTATATATTGGGTTTTTAAGTTGATGTTTATATATCAAAATCATTTATTTATCATAATAAGGATTATACTCCCGTTACAACAGGAATACATTGAAAATCACATAGATAACCTTTGTTTTATTCCAGTAATATGTTATAAAAACGACAATCATCAATAATAGACCAGCTATACAAATATCAACATCTAAAACCCAATAGTTATACAGCTGTCCCTTGATAATCTGACAGGTATGGGACAAAAGGGGTTTCGGATTACCAAAGGTATCCAGATTACCGAAAGTGATTACATATTTGGTATTGTTTTGCTAGCAGTAGCCTACAATATTCCCTACTCCAACTGTTCGAACAGAACTGCTCACGGAAAACACACGAAATGTGTGTCATCGTGTAAGAATTGGGTGAGGAGATTCACGTCACGACATGCTTGTCGGATTACAAAATGTCAGACTATCAAGGAACAACTGTACATTAAAGCCAGATGACTCTATATATATATAAAACTGCCATATATCAATATATTAGCATTTACTTATTAATAGTAGTAGTAATATAGCCCAATATAATCTTGCAATAATTTGGCTTTAATAATCCACCTTTTTGATCTGCCTACTCTTATTTTCTTGAGCACTGGAACTATAACAAAGTTAAGACTTCTGCAAATATACTTGCTCTTTAACTGATAATTTTATAATCCAAGTTTTCATTAAATCTATAATGTTAAAAATCTTAATTTTTTTTTTTGCACTATTTTCAAAAAATGTTAATGTTCCGTATATTCCAACTAAAAATACTAACCTCAATTTTGTCACTTAATATCAAAAACGTACAATTTAATCTAAATTTACACCTATAAAAAACAGAATCTACCAAACACTGGTACAGCTATAGGTTATTGTTTCATAATAAAATTTGCTTACCCTTCCTGTTTGCATCAACATAATAATGAAGAATTTTTACTTGACAGCCATGTGATTCTTGGATAAGATCAGAACTTATTTGCATAGTTTGATGGAATATCCCTTGATTATATTTTTTAGATGAATAAAAGCTGATAAAATCTGATTCATTTAGCAAATAGATCTAAATTCTATTTGTAATATTGTAAACTCATTTTTTTTTATAATTTGTATCTTAATAATTTCATCATCAGCTAATTCTACAATTTTTAAGGAATCCTTTATAAATTGTACCAATCATTTTTGTATCAAACCTTTTACATTCTTAACATCTGACAGAGAAAAATCACTTCTCATCAATCTGTTTTGATTCATTACACTTACAATGTTATTGGTATTCTTATTTGTAGAGGTGCTGTATTAATATTGCTATCTTCTAATCACTTTAATCCTTTTATTATTCTTTCTTTCATAACAATTTCTGCTAATTTTGGCCCCATATCCTGACCGACCATATACTTATGCCATAAAAGGATTAAAGTGATTAAAAGATAGGCACTGCAACAATACCAATAACTATTTTCTATTTATATCCAGCATTTCCTTCTCTACCTCCTTCACTTTTTTCTCCAATTATCCAAACTGATTTTTCAATTCTTTAAACTCTTGGTACAGCATAACTATGTCCTTTTTAATCCTTGTATTTGTTTAGTAATTAAAACATATGACACCTGAATTAATTTCATCATCTGTCACAAGATTTCCAAAGAAGAATTAACTTCTTTCTCTAATAGACAAAACACAAGAGTCCAAAATTTTCCTCTTTACCTAATTCTTGTTCAGTTTTCTTTATTTCCTCATTTGTGTCTGTCTTAGCTTGATTTCAAAACATTGAATCCAGATTTGCCAATTTAGACACTTTATTTACATTACCACTACTGGTTAATGGTAATCAACCACTTTTCATATATGAACAAGATAAAGGACCAGGATTTTATTTTATTAATAATTGCTGGCTCAACACCAGCAATTATTAATAAAACAAGTAGAATTATCAACAAATAAAACTGAAATAATGATATCTTCATAATAGAACATTCACTGTAAATTCCAATTCCACCAGACTGGAAGACAGTTTTGCATGAATACTCCAAAATGTTTTTAATTACATGTGTATATATATATACACAATCGGGGTGAAAACACTAAATATAAGCCCTCATGCATGTATATGTATATATATACATATACATGCATGAGGGCTTATATTTAGTGTTTTCACCCCGATTGTGTATATATATATACACATGTAATTAAAAACATTTTGGAGTATTCATGCAAAACTGTCTTCCAGTCTGGTGGAATTGGAATTTACAGTGAATGTTCTATTATGAAGATATCATTATTTCAGTTTTATTTGTTGATAATTCTACTTGTTTTATTAATAATTGCTGGTGTTGAGCCAGCAATTATTAATAAAATAAAATCCTGGTCCTTTATCTTGTTCATATATGAAAAGTGGTTGATTACCATTAACCAGTAGTGGTAATGTAAATAAAGTGTCTAAATTGGCAAATCTGGATTCAATGTTTTGAAATCAAGCTAAGACAGACACAAATGAGGAANACAATATCTCATTGTGCAGTGGAAGAAAAGTTACAACATTTCTTTAACATGGTATGATGTTAAAAACGTTTTTAAAGAATTAAGAACAGAAGTTAATTGAACAGGAACACTAAATACAATTAAATTTAGTGTTTCCAAGAACAATTCTTGGAAAATTTTATATTTGTTAAATATCACCCTCATTGTCAAACATCATTGTCATTTTTTAAATCAGCTCTTTAATGTATATTTTTATTATTTACAATTTGTTTTTTTATATTTTGTATAAATTTACAATTTGTTGAACACTAACTGAAGAGAGAGTCTGAAATCCATTTTAAATGAAGAATATAGTCTGAAATGCATTTTAAATGTTCAGTGTGTTATTATATATTGTCATAGAAAGCTGTACATGATTGTAAAAATTATCATTAAAGATTTTGTAATCTATCTTGTTCACCACTGTAATAAGCCCTCATGTATATACATGTATAATTAATACAGACTAAATAAAACATCATCAAGGGCTAAAAGCAATAGATTATTCAATGTAATTTCTCCTGAAATTTATACTATAAACAATCTAACAATGAAATAAGCATTAATTACTTTTGACTCTGTATTTGCTTTTGCTCCATATTCTAAGAGAGTTGTAGAAATATCCATTTGATTTTTCTTGGATGCAATATGTAAAGGTGTATAGCCATTTTTTGCTGTTGCATGAGGTGAGGCCCCTTTATCTAATAGTAGCAAAGCTACATTAACATGATCATAGTGAGCTGCCATGCTTGTCGCGACGTGAATCACAAAATGTCAGACTATCAAGGAACAACTGTACATTAAAGCCAGATGACTCTATATATATATAAAACTGCCATATATCAATATATTAGCATTTACTTATTAATAGTAGTAGTAATATAGCCCAATATAATCTTGCAATAATTTGGCTTTAATAATCCACCTTTTTGATCTGCCTACTCTTATTTTCTTGAGCACTGGAACTATAACAAAGTTAAGACTTCTGCAAATATACTTGCTCTTTAACTGATAATTTTATAATCCAAGTTTTCATTAAATCTATAATGTTAAAAATCTTAATTTTTTTTTTTGCACTATTTTCAAAAAATGTTAATGTTCCGTATATTCCAACTAAAAATACTAACCTCAATTTTGTCACTTAATATCAAAAACGTACAATTTAATCCAAATTTACACCTATAAAAAACAGAATCTACCAAACACTGGTACAGCTATAGGTTATTGTTTCATAATAAAATTTGCTTACCCTTCCTGTTTGCATCAACATAATAATGAAGAATTTTTACTTGACAGCCATGTGATTCTTGGATAAGATCAGAACTTATTTGCATAGTTTGATGGAATATCCCTTNTTTTCTGCATTATCTTCAGATCCATGCTTTACCTTTTGCAAAAAGTATGTAATTTTAGATTGCTTGCTTCTAGTTAAAAGATCTTTATAAATTTCCTTATATGGTGTTAAGCACTTATGAAGAATAAAGCAAGTATGGAATAAGGGAAAAACATTTGGCAACATCAGAAGCAGAAGCGTCAAGATCTGGCAACATTGAAACAAGTTTCAAGAAGGACCATGTGTATCGACAGGAAAGAAAAAAAATTTACATACTTAAGTACTAATAGTTTATGAAAATAATAATTTTTGTGAACTATTACTTAAGTATGTAAAAATGTATTACATTTCTTGTTGTACGAGGGTTTTTGGCGATACCCGCCAAAAGAATTTGACATATATATTCATCCCTCACCACTGCCACACGATTGCCCTTGACAAATATATTCATTGTTCACTACTGAGTGGTTAACAACATTCATTTCAATTTGATACTTATGCTGATTTATGTTATCACATTCAATCTAACATTAAATTACTTCATAAAATTACATTAGTACAGCTGTCCCTTGATAATCCAACAAGTATGGGACCAAAGGGGTGTCAGATTGCCAAAAGTATCCAGATTACCGAAAGTGATTACATATTTGGCATTGTTTTGATAGCAGTAGCCTACAATATTACCTACTCCAACTGTTCGAACAGAACTGCTCACGGAAAACACATGAAATGTGTGTCATCGTGTAAGAATTGGTTGGGGAGATTCATGTCGCAACATGCTTCTGTGCAAGCAGACACATAACGGGGACGGGTACCTGGACGGGAGGTGTGTTGGACTACTGAGCATGTCAGATTACAAAGCGTCGGACTATCAAGGGACAGCTGTATTCTAAATTTCCTTTAATTTAAATCTGATAAGTTTTAGAATATAGATAAACTGGGATTAAAATTAAAATTTGAAATTTGATGAATGAATTTTGGTAGCATAACATATTAATTTTATTAATCCATAAAAACACTGCTAAATTCAGGAAACAAAAACATTTAATATGAAATATTTCAACCTAATTTAGTTCATTCTTAGTTGGATAGCTAAAATTAGACTGAAAACTGTTTCATATTAAATATTTTTGTTATCTGAATTTAGCAGTTTTGTCAATTAATTGATCAATAATATTATAGATGCAAACAATGAAAACATTTCTTAATTTGTTTTAATTTTGATAAATTTTAATAAGATTAAGTTTTCTGTGAAGTTTGAATGTAATTTCTCATATATCACTAATATTTATATTTAATTACAATATCTCATTGTGCAGTGGAAGAAAAGTTACAACATTTCTTTAACATGGTATGATGTTAAAAACGTTTTTAAAGAATTAAAAACAGAAGTTAATTGAAATATTAGTAATAAAAAAATGTCTCTGTTTTTACCTTTCCCTGAGCATCTACAGGCGCATCTTTATGTAAAAGTAAACGAGCCACTTTAATATTTCCATATTTGGCTGCCATATGAAGGGGAGTAAAACCTTTCTATAATTGAAAATAATATTTTAATCAAATATTTTATAAAAAAATTATACTATATCATTAAAAGAATTACCTTTGTGGCTGCTGTAAGAGAAGCACCATGGTCCAACAATACTGAAGCTACTTCTTCTTGTCCTTCTTTAGCTGCCACATGAAGTGCAGTATACATATCTTTTGTTGTTGCGTCAACTGCTGCTCCATGCTGCAATAATAAACTCACGATATCAACATTTCCTAAACGTGCTGCAATATGGAGAGGTGTTTGTTCTTCCTACAATAAAATAAAAGAATTTTTTTTAAGACAAAAATTTTAAATAAGCTGGTTAAGATTCCTATCGTAGAGAACTTTTGTATATTAGTAAAAAAGATATTTTAAAATGGCAAAAGATAGAATTGCTGAATAGTAATGTTGAAAAGTATACACGTTTTATTAGTCATACAGAAGGATTGAAAGAGATAAGAATTGAAAGAATGATAGTCAAACGTTGAACTTTAAAATACCAAAATTAATGATGATTGCTTCTACAAAAAAAAAAACAAAAAAAAATCGTTTTACAGAAAACTTTGGTTATATTTTTATAAAAAAGGGTATATANAAATAAATTTATTATAATATCGTAAAAGATTTCATACTCTTGCAGGTGCATCAACATGTGCCCCATTTCTCAATAAAATTCTGATAATGTCTGTTTGGTTGGCTCTGGCTGCAAGATGAAGTGGTGTTTCACCTCTCACTGTTGGCACATCAGGATTTGCTCCATTTTGAAGTAAAAATATTACTATATTCATACATCCCATAAAGGATGCAACATGTAATGGTGTCAGTCCAGACTAAAAATATTTTTATAATTACTATAAGAATTATCTGACTTATATCAAATGAATATTTTAAACTTTAAATGAATTAATAGATCTACCTCAGTTGTAGCTTCTATTGAAGCTCCATGCTTAAGCAGGAGCTCAACAACTTTTATTCGATTTTTTTTACACGCAATGTGTAAAGGAGTAAATCCATTTAAAGCTCTGGCATTAGGATCAGCATTTCTATCTAGTAAAAGTTTTGCTACATTTACATGGCCACAATGGGCTGCCACATGAAGAGCTGTTAAATAATCCTTAAAAAAAAAAAAAAAAAGACTAAACTATAATTCTGTGAAAAGTTTAAAGTTATTAATATTTCTTTTTATGAGAATAAAAAATATAAATAACATTTTACAAATACACAATAAAATTGAATCTAAAATAATTTTATAGATATTTTTATAGAAATTAATGAAATAAATACCACAGTAACATCATCAACTGGAGCTTTGTGATATAACAGAATCCGAGCACTATCTACATGATCACCCTGAGAAGACATATGTAATGGAGCTAATCCATTCTGTAAGATAAAAACAAATTATGATATAATAGTGGTATATTAATAGAATAACCATATATTAAATATATATATATATATTATTATAAATGCACCTACATTACAAAACATTCATAACTAAAATTATTAGTTTGATCAGATTTAATTTAACAGTAAAAAGTGATAAAAGTGAAATATAGTAGTCATAAATGTTTTTCTGCTTTGCTACTACAGAAATTTTGGTTTCATTCAGTACAATTATCTTATTAAATTTATTAGTTCTAATTTAATTAAAACTATTTTCAGAATATAGTGTCAAATATAAATATTCTTCAAGAATAAAATATTAATTCAGTAGTAGTAATTTAATTCCTTTCATTACCAAGTAAAAAAACAACATAAATTGCTATTTAGTATCATATATCTTTAATAAAATAATATAATAAAGATATTAATTTTCTGAAAATGTTTAATTATTAATCCTCTATTATTGATTGATTGATTGATTCTCTATTGAAAAAAAATATAATAAACTTTAAATGAAAATTGTTTTATAAATAAAATCTATCCATTTCAGTTAAAATAAAGGGTGATTAAAAAAAGACTTATAAGTTTGAAAGCATATAGAATTTTAATCAAAAGACTTACAGAATCAGTTCAAGCATTAATTTATAGCAAAAACCATCAAATTTTACCTCAAACAGTCATATTGACTTTACATTAAATATAACCATCATCTTTGTGATATAGTAGACAACCCACCTGAATTCAATTTCTTTCTAAATTCAAAACAATGATAGTGAGTTGAGTTTTGAACTCAGCAAGATTTGCAGCCAAGAATGGAATAAACAATAGATGGAAAGTCTTAATAAATATTAATAATATTTAGTTAATAATTACATTAAAAGTATACAAACTCTATATTAAATTTGTAATATTCACTAAAAGTGTTAATCAGAGTTAATAGCAATCAAACTAATATAAAATAGTATGGCATTAACACAAATATGCAAATTTTTAGAAGTGAAAGGGTTGTGGAGGAAGATGATGATATTACCTTTACAGAGTAGAATAAGGAATAAACTCAAATAACTGTTATATGAAAGATTAGATTGTGGCAGTTGGCAACAAAGCATTTGACTACTGTCCCCAACCTACATCCATGGCCAACTCCACTTTTAGATGGACGTATTTCTATCCGGTTGCTCACCTCACTGTGCACTCCGACCACTGTTTCCACTGTCAATATAATTTTAACTCTTGTATATAGTTCTGTAAAATAAATTTGTGACAACAAACATTGCACTTCATCGTCTGTCTTGGAATCATTCATTCAACATAACAATGACACTATTCACAGATGTAATCGGATTGATTGACATAACCGATTTTCTTCTTAAGAAGTATGCCTTAGTGGCCTCATCACTGGTGAGCCAAACGTGACCTCCACGACAGAGTAATCTGGACTAAATGATCCCAGCAATGCTGACCATTTCAAAACCCAGTCTCTCCACGCCGGTCAAGCAGCCAAACTAACAGTTAATTCGGCTGCTTGACCAGTGTGGAGAGAAAAAAATAGACCTACATGGACTCTTTTTTTTCTCTTCACACCGATCAAGTCTGGGATTCAATGAAGTCTGGGATTTGGGTTTAGAAATGATAGGTGTCGCTGGGACCACCTAGTACAGATTACTACGTCATGGACGCCACCAAGGCATACTTCTTAAGAAGAAAATCGGTTATGTCAATCAATCCGATTACATCTGTGAATAGTGTCATTGTTATGTTGAATGAATGATTCCAAGACAGACGATGGAGTGCAATGTTTGTTGTCACAAATTTATTTTACAGAACTATATACAAGTGTGAGCCCACGGATTTTTGCGGGTCTTTTAAAAATTTAAATTTTCTTGTTAATTAACTTTGGAAAAAACCTGAAGATTTTGTATTAGATCGGATTACACCGATTGTATCACAACTCGCTGAGGAAGTTTACAGTTAGGTGTGAAAAATGCACCGTCATCATCAACAAGAATCGATGACGTGTCAGCTCTCGCACGAAAAAGTATAAAAGCTCAATTCTCCGTAACCTCAGGGCGATTCGTCATAGGAAGTTGTATTTAGTAATAGTGTCACCAAAACTCCCGAGCCTCCATTCAGCAGACCCGATCCTGCTATAGAGAGAGGATCTCGAATAGAAGACACGGAAGACACCACACCCTGAACGTTCGCCAATTCGCCCTGCCACCGACAGGTATTTTGGGGTATATAGGATTTGTAAGCGCTCTCTCTCGAACTCGAAAATTTGTGCTCAAATTTATGTAAATAGTAGAGATAACCGCTTTTAACTTCTTGTAGTGCTTAGTTGAGTATATAATAAATGCTTTCCTGTTTCCTGTCATTTAAGGACGCCTATCAAGTTGCTCACCTCCCTCCCCACTCGAACTGCCCGCCTAGCCATCTGACGACGCCGAGATCGGGTTTTATCAACCTGTTGCCGAGTAAGTGGTCAGTGGGAGATTGATCCCTGACCCACGGTTTATCTCACACAAGAGTTAAAATTATATTGACCATGGAAACAGTGGTCGGAGCGCACAGTGAGGTGAGCAACCGGACAGAAACATGTCCATCTAAAAGTGGAGTTGGCCATGGATGTAGGTTGGGGACAGTAGTCAAATGCCTTGTTGCCAACTGCCACAATCTAATCTTTCATAAGGACAACAGATGGGGCAAGGACTTGTTATATATTGGTTCTAGCAAACGCTCCTTAAGTACCAGTGTAAGAGAACACCGAGCCAACATTCAACATGGACGGCACACTACTGCCCTTGCCACGTATGCATGTGATCCGGACATTGAGGCAGAGCTTGACAAGGCCGAAATCGTTGTCACCATGCCCCACCAGATAGAAGTCATAGCCATTTACAAAGACGGCTGAGAGACTACCTGCATCAACCTGAAGGAGGAGCTTAGTCTGTCACTAGCCTGGCAGGCCCTCATATATGCTGATCCATAATTATATCTATCAGCATATGATTGCTCATGCCCAGTAAAATGGATTTTGTCAAAATGATATTCAATTTTGTTTTAAATCTTTACATTCCATTTTAAAGCATTCCAAACCTATTTGACCTGAAGAAGAACTTTGTGATAGTTCAAAAATGTTTGTCACTCACTGTATTTTTTATATGTAACACACCAGTAACAGGTTAACAGAAATGAGGATTTTTACTCTGGTGCTGAGGTAAAGATAAACTCTGTGTTGTCCAAGAATGTTGTATTTCTTAAATTTGTCAAATTAATAAATATTGGACTTATCATACAAGAAAAGGTTTTAGAAGAGTAAAATTAATCATTTTGAATTGTCTTTTTTCGGATGCATTTTGGGTCTGAACCCTCTTTAACAGTTGACAATTCTTATAAACAGGTCCTGAGAGGGAATCATACAGATTTTATATATCAACAATTTGATCTAGAAACTCTGTAAACTATTTCAGAATTTAAAAATTTTTCTTAAAAAATGGAAAAAGTTAAAACTCGGTAAATAAAATCACATAAAATAATTGTAATCTATAAAACAATAAACAATTTTTAAAATAATAATAATAAATAAGTAAATAAATAAAATAAAAGTGTTAAAAAGAAGTTAAAAACCAACAAATAAATGGTCTCATCTTCGTCAATCTGATGTAAGATTTCTGCATAAAATTCTTGATGCAACCTTATCTGCATCAGTAATTTTTTTGCAGCATTGTAAATTTGTATGATTTTTAAATGCATCTGTATTCATAAAAGTCTCCAAATGATTGGTCATAAAATGCCAGTTCAGTAAATGCACATTGCATTGATTTCCTAGAACTACAGAATTTGTCCTCCCTTGTTCCATGGCAGAATCAGAAATATGTGGGCAACCAGGAAAATTGTCACAACAAATAAAACAACAGGTTTCAACAAATTTCAGTATCAAGAATAAATAGTTTGTCTGTATGGAGAATCTCTACAATACTGGTTGTGAAAATTCTGTTAAATTATTATTGTAGATTTTGTTCCTTCAAACCAAAACACACAGTGAGCATGCTTCACACCAGTAAAAGAAGCCATTTTTATATGCATAACACACAGTGACAAAAACCAGTACTACAGCATTATGAAACAAACTTGATATTGTTTACTGTAAATCAACACATCAACTAATTCTGCAAGTCTTCTGATTAAAACCTATATGCTTTCAAAACTGTGAAGAGCTTTTTGAATCATCCTACATAGTACAATTCAATTTTAACCCTTCAGGAACTGCATGAGGTCAACTGCCTTTGAATGTTTGCATAGTGTCTCACTGACATCAACTTTTATTCCAAAATTGTGAAATTTTCAGCATTATATCAGAAACTATAATAATATCTTGTATATCCTCATTTTGTGTTCTTTCTCACAACATAAAATAAAAAACTTCTCTGTAAGCTGAAACGAATTTAGCTTAAACACCTTAAATACTTATTTTAGCATGACTTTAGTTTAATTTAAAAAAATTTTATTTAAAATGTGTGTTTAAATAAATTAAAGTCATGATGAAAAAAGTATTTAAGACATTGTTTAAGCAGCATAAAATACTTAAAAAAACTACATTTTCATCAATCTAGATGTTTATTTTATTGTAATTAGATTGAATAAAGCAATAAAATAAACACATCAACTTTCACTTGACTGTAAAATGTCTCATACATCATGGATTGACATCAGATTTGTTTGTAATTAGAGAAGGATAGGTTAATATAATAATCCAATGATTGCCTAAATATTCAGGCTATAATATGGCTATAATCAAATAATTAATACAAATAACTTTAGTACTAGAAGTAAGCATTAGGTGCCATCTCTTATCTAAATTAATAATTATAATTTTAATAATTTAATAAATAATTTAGAACCTTCTGGAAGAAAATTATTATTATTGGATTATTATATTAACTCATCAGGCTTTGAGATGTGTATTATATGTATAGAAAGATAGGTTGTCTTTCAAGATTCGAATAGTAAATGCATTCAAAACATCATTGTATGCATTTTCTAAATATACTGTATTATATATAATTCTCTACATTGGACATTGAATAAAAATTTCAATCAACAATATTAAAAATAATTATGTTTCACCTTGGTTTTTGCACTGATGGGTGCACCATTTTCTAAAAGTTGATCCACTACAGTTTCATGACCACTTCGAGCAGCACAATGTAATGGTGTTAAACCATCCTAAAAAAACATTAAGTCATAAAATCACAAATATAGATTTAAAATCATTTTATACATAAATTAAACATAATTAAAAATTAACTTCTGACAATTTTTTATTCATTACTAACTTACTGTTAACATCATATATAAAATAAATTATTTGTGTTTCTTTATTTTAATTCAATTCAGTGGTGTATGTTGACAAGTTCCAAAAGGGACCAGATGTGAGAAAACCCATTTTTCATGCATTATAACAATTATTCTTTAAACACTCTAAAAAAACTCATTTTATTCACACATTAATTTTACTTTCCCAGCTCTGTTATATATAAAAGAGGAAAAGTAGGACAATCGATCAAAAAATAACCCCCAAGATTTTTACATTTTTTTGGACTTAGAACCTTCAAATATCAAGAAATGCAAAACATTCAAGGGTTTCTTCTATATGTACAGATGTTAGTTTCTGTGAGGGCACGATTTTGTTCACCCTCTTTGAAGCTTAACAATTACTGTGCTTTTTGTCAAAAATTTTTGAAATTCTACACGGAAGTTTGCATATTAGGGGATTGTTGCTATTAAATTTTGGTGGGTAAAGGTCGACAGGGTGAGGAGATAAAGGGGGTTGTGTGTCGTATCTTGAATAGGGTCAGACTTAATGATGATTTTCCTCCTTATTAACATTTACAATTTTTTTATAAAACCCATTCTACTCTCAAAATTAAGCTTTTTGCCATTTTATAATAATTAAAAGTATAAAAAATTTTAAAAATAAAATATAAAAGATGGTGCCACATGCAGTTTTAAATGTTGCTGGGAAAGTTAAGCAACTCGTTGCTGGATTTTTTCTTGGGAACTTAAGGCTCCAAATGACATTTCAAGCATGCAATCCAGAATACAGCACAAAAATGTTGATTTTCTTCACTCTGCTGTGATGATTCATCTAGATCAGCTGCATCATTCACAGATTCAAACTACATTATGGTTTGCTGCGAGGGACCTGCTTCTCCTAATGTGTTCCCTTCCACAATGAATTCAAAATTTCCTAATCACACACAGCATCTTTTAAGTAGATTCACACTTTAGATGAAAACTTTTAAGTGTTTTATGATAACAGAAATAGAAAAATCAATAATGCAATGTTGTTTTCAATAAGTATAAGAAACTAAAAATATCTTTTACACAACTGTCTGGATGCACACAAAACACAGGAGCAAGTTAGTCCTGTCAATGAGTTAACTAAAGGAGCTCTGAGGGGTATTTAGGTTGACTTGTAGAAGAGTTGAACTCAGTATAAAAAAGGGAAGGCTGAATGGGAAAAATACACAAAAAAATTCATATTTTTCAAGTGTAAAGTTTCAAATACAAATGCATTAAAAATAATATTCAGACAATACTTCAAGGGATTTAGGAGACTAGCTTAGTTCTCCTAGTCCATTATTGGCACATCATTGTTTCAATTTATTAAAAAAAAAGTGTATTTATAAGATAATTAACATATTTATAAAATGTTTCTTTTTGTGTGGATCAGTACTCTGTAACAAAACACATGCCTTGTATTTATTATTTTTATTTCTCCTATATTGCATTGTTGTTACAAAGTACTGATCCACAAAAAAAGAAATGATAAATGATACAATGCTTAAAAAACAAAATACTTATATAATTTATATTTAACAGAATGTAATTAGGATTGATATAAAAAAGTATAAATTATGATTTTAAATCTATGTTAAATAAAAGAATGTTGTTGCAATACAGAAATATTAATTCCTCACCTACATAAATATTTTTTTTATAACAATATATTTAATTTCACTTTTTATTTTTGTAATTTTAATTGAAAATTTGAAAATTAACTTACTCTGGTAGAAGCACCAATTTTGGCCCCTTTTTCAAGGAGTAAAGCTACCATGTTACTTTTCCCCCATTTAGCAGCAACATGAAGTGGAGTAATTTGATGCTTTAATAAGATAAATTTTAAAAAATTTACAAAAAATAAAAATTAAACATTTTCTTTATAAATTATAAAAATAATTAAAATTATGCTTACTTTTGCTGTAAAATTAACATCTGCTCCTTTTTCCAATAATATCATCGCGATATTTTCATTACCATAATGTGCTGCTATGTGTAATGGTGTAAATCCACTCTATAAAAATATAAAAATTAGATTTAATTTCTGGTGCATTAATATTATGAGTGATTACTAGACAGCGGACATCTAGGTCCTTAAAAGTGGCATTTTAGGCGCTTAAAATAAGCTCTTAAATTGCGTCGTTTAGGCTTTATAAACAAAAAATAGGCAGTCAAAATTTGCACAATGAACAATTAACCTACTTATCAGGACGATAAATTTTTTATTTATCATATGCATTCCAAATAAAAATGCACGTATTCAGAATGATGCAAAAACAAAAGTAGACAAACAATTATCTTTACATTTTTTATTCACTGTTTCCCATAGTTAGCTTCATAATATATTACAAGTACTTTTTCCAAATTTTCAATAAAAAAGTTGCAACGTTTGTCACTGAGAATTAATTTATATGCAGAGAAAGAGTGTTCCACATCTACTTAAGATAATGGACAGTATTTCAACCTTGGAAGAAGATGAATTGGGAATTCACTTTCAGTTTTGCTCTTCTTTCTTGCCAAAATATCAGGCACAACAAACAAGCACTTTAATACAAGTCTCTTTTGAAGCACCGCTTTCAACTCTTTCTTCACATTTTTTGCAGCAGTACCTGGTGCATCACAAAGTTTCTAATTTGCTCTGTTGAGGAGATCAATTTGTTCATATATAGATTTCCCACTACTTTCAAGAGCAGTAATAGTATTTGCAATGAATGTGAAATAACACTTGATGTACTGTACACCAACTTGTTCTGAACATGTCATTCAAAATTTTCTTGGCTTTAATTACACAAACTGCATTGTCCACTAAACTGGCCAGAAGTTTTTGATATCGAAGAAATGTTCACTGTAGTAGTTAGTACAAAATTTTAGCCATGTATATGCTAAGGGAAAAATAGGCATCTGCCTAAAATCCGCTGTCTAAAAATAAGAAATAAAGCATATCTAACGCTATATTTATTAAATAAAATGATTTATTTTAAAATATTTCATATAGTTTTAATTTTATTACTATAAAATTGCGTCAGGGGGTGTAATTTATTTCCGTTATTATTGCATTCTAATTTTTTCTGCTCAGGATATGCATCCACTGGGACTTAAATATAAGTAATCAATAATAATAATAAATGAATTTGATTGCATTTAAAAAAAAGAAACTTAAGCAGTTTAATTTAAGAATTAAAGTAAACCTTTGCGGAAAATGAAGAGAAAAATTAATGAAACTTTTTAAAAATATAAAAACAGACTAAACTTACTTTTTTAGGCAAAAATAGGCAGAAACGTCAAAATAAGCATTTTTAGGCATTATAAAAAACCATTGTTTCGGTCTAAAATTGTTTCGTGTGTTCACGAAAATTGTTCATACAAAATCTTAGCCACGTATTATGCCAAGGAAAAAAGTAGGCATTTGCCTAAAATCCGCTGTCTAGTGATTACTTAGTAACTTAAGTTATATCAAAAAAAAATAAAATATTATAATTTAGAGATTTCAATCACCTAATAAGTCTTAACTCTCTAAATTATACAACCTTGACCTTAACATTGAAAATCATTAATACAAATTTTCAATAAAGTGAACTAACTACTGTTCCTCAGTGATTTCTATTAATGCTAGTTGACAGTATTAGTTAAAGAATAATCCCATAAATATTTGGTAATTTCAAACTAATTATAATACTTATGACTTATTTATTGAAAAAAATAAGAAATTATTTTATATTTATCATCATCAAAAGAAATATTTCACAATATTGGTCTATTCAAAAATATTTTTACTTACCTTTGAAGTAACATCTGGATTGTGATCACTTTGCAATAGCAAAGTTGCAGCCTTACAATCATCTTTTTTTGCGGCAATATGAAGTGCAGGAAGTCGAACTTTTCCCTTAGTGTCATTTTCTAATAAGAGAGTAACTACTTTATCGTGTCCTTGTTGCAGAGCTACAGCTAATGGTGTAAATCCATCCTGTTTAAAATTATAAAGTAATATTACTTAAAAATTAAATCAAATTTTATCATTACTATACAATTTACAAGTTTCATTAAAATTTGTTAGAATTTAATTTATAAAAGTTTATCGTGTAATTAATAACAATTATATTTTTAGTTTTTATAATGAAACTGAGACCAATGTAAATTTCATACTTCTGTTGATAAGCTCTGATTAGCTCCATTTGCTAAAAGAAAACTTAAAACATCATCGTGATTTTCTTGAGCTGCCATATATAATGGGGTGAAGCCATTTTGTGATTGTACATTGACATTTGCACCATTCTGTACCAAAATCTTTACCACTTCCTGTTTTCCAGCTAATGAAGAAATATGCAATGCAGTATTTCCTTTCTAAAAAAATAATTATTAAAAATAAAATTAATAATTTATAATAATTATTATTTTTATAAAAAATATTTCAAATATATTTGATATTTAAAAAAGCAATAATTATAAAAAGAAAAATATTATCATCAATTTCAGTAATTTAGAGTTTTCTGTGATTGAAAATTCCTTAAATGATAAACAACTACATTTTTGTAAGATATAATTGTAACAAATGTTGAAACTGCTTATTATATCTTTCTAATAAATAAATCTCTGTAAATAATAAAATTCATTGTATTTCATAATACAAGGATTGTAAGAACCCTAAATTTGTTAGCATTCTGTAAGAGATTCCATGAGAAAATAACCAAAAATGTAAATAAACGTGCATGAAAATTTAAGTGAAAATACACACAAACGTAAATGAGTGGAAGGTGCAGTACAGTGTGACATCACCTCCAGAAGGATAAAAGCCTCAGGGGAAGAGGAACTTGATGAAATGGAGCAGCAGCTGGCAAGGAATGATGGTGTGCCCCTTGGGTTATAAATGTACTAGACAATTGACCTTCCTGGCAATGATAAGCAGAAACAAATTGGAGCATAAGATCTTCTTGTTAAATCTAGCAATAAGTCAGTTTGGCTACACAAGGGCTGCAGATAGTTGGAACATCACAGTTTGTGCCTTAGAGGCTGCTTTTGTACAGTTCATTTATTTTTGGTACTACCAACAGTAAGTGGTTGAGAAGTGAATAAACTTAAAGATATGAATTTGAATTAAAGGATTCCATTAATGCAATCCTTTAATTCAAATTTGGTTCTCAACCTGAAGATGGCCTGTGAATCAGGCTGAAAACGTTTATTTGAAATTAAATTATATTTCTCGGCAAGGATAAGGTGTTAGTTATATGTATAGTGATTTGCTGAGTACTTTATGATATAAACGTAAAGAAAAAAAATTTTTTTTGTATCTAGACAATCAGTCCAATCAATTCTGAGTTCTCAGCAGTTAACAATTCACCCTTGGTACTGGAACCAATGTGAAACGAGCATAGCCATTTCACATTGCTTCCTGTACCAAGTTCAGGGGCAAACTATCAACTGACCCTCTACTTTTTGTTTGTATAGCATCCGTACTGTTAGGACATTTCTGATTCAGCTACTGTTACATAATCCCAATTTATGTTTTTTTCTCTAGGTATTTCCCTTCACTTACTGGCACTTGTTCTTTTGTTTTGGCAACAATGGGTATGCATACAGAATAGAAATATCTTCACTGGCTGGAGCACAGCCACATACATGGTGGAGGCAGTCATTGGAATTAATTAGGAATTCCAGATCACCCAGCCTAAAGTCCAGATCTGAAATCATCCAGACCAGTGATTTCCAAAGTTTTTCAAGCCATTGCCCCCTTGGTTCTATAAACTTATATCCAACACCCACAGTACCCCAACACCCCTAACCAATTTTCTCTTGTGTGAGAAAGACTTGGAAATATTCTCATAGAAACTTTTCTATGAACCTCACACTTACCGTACATTGTTCTCCATATCTGGAAACCATTAATTAACCCCTTCCGCCCATAACCCAAGATAACTCGGGTGCGCATGACACTGTGCAGTCCATATCCCAAGTTACCTTGGGCATAGGCTTTAAAAGCCTGAAAAAAGGGCTTTGACATAACTTTTCCGAAAATGTATGGATCAGCATATATACATTGTTATCTATGATCTCTGCAAATTTCATGAATTATTTTTGCCGCAAAAATATTTTTTAACGATTTATTAATTAGGTAATTAATTGCATTATTGTTTTTTTATGAGAGTTTTTTTATCAAATTAATTAAATTGTTCTAAACTTCTATTTGATTGATTTGACTTTGGTAAAATTTTTTAAAATGCTATTGAATGTTTTTTATGACATCAGCAGGTTTTTTTGTTTTTTGTTCATGCCTTTTTTGGTCCCCATATAATTTAATAGCATAAAAATTGACAATATTGTGTTATATTTGAACAGATGTGGTAAGTTAGCTCCCCTGCTGCATTAAACCAATATTCCCCTGAAGCGTACATGAGAACTACCCAGGAAAGCTGATAACAGCTGTTCTCAAGGTCAACCAGTTTGTAAACAATGTAGACTGCATGTGTAAAATTTCACGCCTTGTTGAATGAAAGAATAACAATCCTTACAGCTATAGTTCTCAAATAAAAGCATTTATTTTAAATTATTTTTATTTTTTTATATACTTTTCTTGTAAAAACACTTTTTGGATGGGTTTTTATTTTGCGGGAATTATTTCCCGGCAATTTTTTTGGATGTCAGATTCGCGTTTCAATGGAAATAATTACAGTAATACCTTGACTTACGCTACCCCGACTTACGTGAACCCGGAGTTACGCGATTTTCAAATCTCGTTGATTTGTCTTTTGTTTGAGCACTATGCAACTCTTGATTACTCACTCCCCCACACTATTGTTCAGCTTACATGTTCGGACGTGTCACACAGAATCTACACATAGCTACAATTTATTTTGTGTTATTAATTGCTATGGCTGTTTCAATATTTCAAGTGTCCTGAGAGGGCTTATTATTATATTTGACATATCAAATATTAACAAACCTTTAGCTCGAATTACATCATTTACTCAATTTAGTATGGATTCTACAAGGTGCTGAAGTGCTTCTAAGTCCAATGCACACCAGGCATTCACTAGATTTTCCTTTAGTTTGCATAAATTTGACAGAGCAGACTTTGCTGGTGGATATGTCGTTCTAACATGTCCCATACATTCTTGATTGGGTTAAGATCTGGGCTCTGTGGTGGCCAGGGTGGGTGGCAAAAGTTGTCTTCATGCTCACTGAACCACTGCTGAACAATTCTTGCACAGTAGTATTGTCATCAAAAAAAAAGCAGTCACATGCAGGAAAAAAATGCAACATTGCAAGATGAACTTGATCAGCAACAATGTTCAGGTACTCATTGGAAGTCACCCAACCTTCCAGGAATATCAGCAGACCATTTCTATCCCAACAGAACTTTCCCCATACCATAACACCCCCAGAGAACCTTGAGTCATGTTAATGAGGCAAACAGGGTCCATTGCTTCATGGGGCTCCCTCCAAACCCTCTGTACATCAGTACAGAATAACGTGTACCATGATTCATCACATTACTTTTTTCCAGTCCTCAGATGTCCAATCACAGTGCTCTTGGCACCACCGTAGATAAACTTTTTGTTGATTCTTCGCAGAGACCAGTTTGTATAGGCCTGCGACTGTTCATATCAATTCTTTTCAGTTCCCTGTGCATAGTTCAGGTAGATATGGGTCAGGGACAAGATTCATTAAATTCTTCTGTCAATTGCTGCACAGAGGAAGTCATTTTTTCAACACTAGCCTTTTTCAGACAATGTCAGTTGTGTTCCTGATTAACTGTTTTGGAGCCACAGTTACTTCTTTTAGACATCAACTGTAGGTTATTTTCCACCGATTGAACACAGGATATCTTGATATTGTCTAATACAGTTCTTGATACTGTGGCTCCAGCAAGATGGGCACCACAATCAGCACTTTCTGAAACTCCATCAACTCCTTCACTTTTCCCATTTTCATAAACATAATGACCATACTGACCAACAGCATTCTTAAATAAGTGCTAATGAACATATGGTAACTCACATGACTCAAGTGTTTTGCATATAAGCTGCAAAATTACACTTATTTAATATGCTTGATGGTTTCTAATTCATTGGCCAGTGAGTGTAAAAGTAAACCAAAAATATTTGTTTTTCTGAAAAATTAGCTGAATGAATATCAAGGTAGGAAGTTTTTATATTATAGTATAGCCTAGTTTCTCGAGTACAAAACATTTTTTATTGTTTTCTAATTATTACTGATTTTCGGTTTGTCCCATTACTTCTGAACCAACTTGAATAATCCCTTTGGTGTATTTAATGAAACAGATAATAACCATATAAGAGATAGGAACTAATCATCTTCCCATGTCATCTTCACACCAACTGATCAGATTTTTTTAAATTTCTTTATGATTTAAATAAATTTTTAAATAAAATGAATTTTTTATTGAATAAATAATTCTTTGAAAGAGTTTTGGAAACTAATAACATCTAGTTTTATAATAATAAAAAAAACAAAAAAAACAAAGTTATCATGAAAGCTATATTATATAAAAACAGAATTTACAAAAAACTTTTTAAAGTTTTCTTACTTTTTTATTAAACTGAATAGAAACTAAAATTAAATTTTTAATATAATATTTAATTTAATTTTTAATGTTACATAATATTATTTAATATATCATCAAATTAAATTAAAATTTTAAGAAATTTTTACCTTTGTTGCTGCATTTACATTAGCTCCTCTCTTAATTAGTTCAGTTACAACATTAATATGACCTTCTTTTGATGCTAAATGAAGAGCATTCAATCCATTCTAAAAATATATTTCAATTTTATTTGATTGTTTATTGAGAGAAAAAATTACTACTTTTCATATAAACAAACTCATATTATCTAAATTATAGAAAAAGTGCTTAATATATAATATACATTAAATAAAAATTAATATTTATTCAACTTATAGCATTCAACTTAATATTCATTAAATACTTCTCCATGAACAATAAATAAGATAGCATAGTAATTAATTATATTAAATATCAATACAACTTTAAAAATAATCAGTTATATACCAAACATTTGCTGGATTACATCAGGCTGTAATAATGCTACTAATTAATTAAAGGCAAATAGTTTGGCTTAGAGGTAGGCATTAGATGTCATCTGTAGGTCAAATTACTTGACTTTTAATTAATAATTAGTAGCAGCCATAGATCCATAGAGTTTTCCAGGTTTCCTCCACATCTGTAATGCCTGAACAGGGGCCAGTTACCCTTAAAAGACCTCCCAGAAGGTATTTCTCCCCTTGTGTAACACTGATTCACCAGAGAAGGCAACAGGGAACCACTCTGGTACTAACTTCCCCCATGACTCACCTTGGCGCAAAACTAATCTCCAATTAACCTGTGCCGGATGATTGCAGACGTCAGTACAAATTTGAACTTTCGTTTTCAATTTCTGTGCTACCATTCACGTCAAGCTTTTTATTTCCCAAACCTAACTTTAAAGTTTCATATAATAAACTATCCATCACCTTTTTGCATGCTGGGAGGCTATTACCAGTTACTTCAAAAAACATATCTGATGTTTCTTCAGATATCTTTGTCCCACTGCAATTCGTAATAGGAGGAAATGAGATAACCTGCCCACTTTCATCCAATAAAAATGGATAAGTTGATTTATCTTTCAGAAGAATGGATAAGTTGATTTATCTTCATGACCTGATATGGCACATGAAGAGAGAGAGAGTGGCATTATTATTGCCCAATGTAATCCAGCAATCGTTTGGCATTAAACTAAAACTTCAGTTAGTGGATGCTTATATTTGTATATATAAACCATGCCAGAGTAAAGTGATAGCCAGTTGAGTGCCATAGTAAGTTCCATGGTTGCTGGAATCGTGTCAAGCTGCTGCCATTAGTAACCAGTGTGATTATATCTATATTAATAATTTTGGAAGCAAAGATCAGATGGAGGTTCAGGTAACATAACTGGTAATGCATCTGCATGGCAAATGAGAGTTGCAGGTTCAAGTCCCACTTTAGGTCAATTCTTTTCTTTCAAAACTTCTAATTTAATTATTAAATATTCATTTAACTATAATTATTAAATTTATCAAAAGATAAGCACTTAATGCTGACGTCTAGGCCAAATTACTTGACTTAATTAATAATTAATAACGTTAATATAGCCCATTTGGCTTTAAGAAATCAAATTTGGCTTCAGAAGCTTCCTATATATCCTAGCTGGCATAGCTTCATAAGACAAAGATTTAAATCTCTCTTTAAACAGGATTGTTCTATAGCACTGAACACATACAAAAACCTAAGTTCTGTCAGGTACATAAAATTAAAAAAATTATGAATGTTTTTGACCTTCTGAGATCTGCTCCAGAATTAAATCTAAGCATTCTATAATAAAATTTATCAAAAAATCACTTTAAAAATTTATCAATATAAGTTCAAATTCTGCAGACGTTCCTTTTGATACATTTCATTATAAAACAGTTAGCTTTAAATCCAAAGCAGATCTGAGGAGGTCAAAAACGTTTGCAATTCTTTTAATTTTATATTACTGGATGGAACTTAGGTTTTCAATTGACGCCAATGTGCAGATGTGTATAAATACAACTGATTTGCACCTAAGTGATATTGTGAAAAATGCTTTTTAATGCTGTGTCGTTGATGCCAAATCCTCCAAGAAAAGGTCAGCATCAATTGTATATTGTATGTATTTTTAAATGTCATTTTGTCGGTTTTTAAGTTGTTAACCATCTGTCTCTAGTTGGATTATTAAAAAAAAAATTATTTTGTATAATCCAAAATTATTTGTACGGTCAAAAATTTGATTTAGTCAAAAAAATTCATCCTTGGAACTTTGTTATTCATGTATTACAGCAATTTAATTTGTTACATAAATAAAAATTATACTATAGGTCTAAAATTATACTCCAGTTAATTATAATCAATTATTATTAATTATTATATTATATGTATTAACTCAACTATTCTAAACTGGGAATACACTCCTTCCTGGTATTGGTTATATGTGCAATGCTTATTATATATATTAATTTACTTCTGTGAGGTCCCAGACAGAAGTCAATTTAGTGGTCTGAATGTTGACAATCAAACAAGAAATTAAAAATCTCTTTTTTCAGTAATGAACAAAGGAAGAATTAAATGTCTTGTTTGAACAAAGAAGGATTTTTATATAAAATTTAAAATAAAAGATGAATTGTGTGAAAAAAACCAAAGTCAAGGGAAATGGAGTTAGAGAGGAATCATGTTTAGTAGTAAATTTGACCTCTCCTGTGCCCTCCACAGGGTTTCAAATTGTTACCAGGTGACAAGAGGAGGTCAATCAAAAAGCAGAATTGCAGATAAAACATATAAAAATGTGCAATTCAAGGACATGGCATTCATGGATCTTTGTTTGGCGTTACTGTTTACAAACGAAGGTGAAACGCTTCATCAATACAAAACTAGCAAAATGGCTGGAACTAAAAACTATTATTACTAATGCACCAGACACTCCTAGAATGTTCGCTTTTGCAAAAACCCATAAACAGGAGTGCGAACTAAAACCAGTAGTTGATAAAGTCAGGGCACCTACTATTAAACTGGAGAAAACTGCACACAAGATACTGACACCCCTCCTAGAAGGACCCCATACCCCATCACCATTCTGATAGATCTTGTTTTATCCCCGGTATACCTGGGTATACTAGGTATTAGGGTTGGGTATGACAACGGAGAATAAGGACTTCACAATGACAAAATAGTTAAACAAAGAAAACAAGCGTGTTTATTCTGTGACGATTACACTATCACCGTCTCTTACAGTTCAGGTTAAATACTCTAGCCGAATTGAACCAAACAATTCCAACCGCGAAACATATACAAGATCTGTTCTAATTACATACCACGAGGGTTTGCTTTATCCCCGACATAACACAAGAAATATCACCTTACAATTGTTCGTGTTGATGTTCTCTTCCTTTAGGAACCTCTATTCAGTCGAACCTCACAATGTCCACGTGGATGGAGTTGGATTTTAGTTAGCCTCCTCAGCAGTTCATTCTTTCTCCTTTTCTCGTAGCAAAGATGATCCAGCGAAACAACCCGTCAGAACTTCCAGAATCCAAGGTTGAGACGAAAAAAGTCCTCTCTTCAGGCAAACCACCCCTTTTATACCGTCTCCCTGATACATACTACGTCATTACTACGTTTACAACCCTCACCCAATCAGTGAGCACACACCACAAAAAGGTGATTTTCCGACATGAACGAAAATTTTACATACACGGATCCATAATCTGATACGAGATAAACCGAAACAAGACATTACATTTGTGTACAATACAATTAGTGCTGTAGCACTACAATCTTATTTCCATGATTAAAGAATTACCTATGCCGCCTAGTTTCATCATGGTTTTAGACTTTAAATCACTATACCCATCTATTAAACTTCCACCAGTATTTTGCGCCATCAGGGACACCCTCTTTAACATCGTTAAAGATAACACATTGCATCAACACATCCTTGAAATGGCACATCTGCTTTATCACAACTCCTTCTTCCAGTTCAAAGGAATAACGTATGAGCACCAAAGAGAAGTCCCAATGGGCAGCCCCATCGCAGGAGACCTGTGTGAAATAGTAGTGAGGAAACTGGAATCAGAATTTCTCCCAAAATATCTCCCCAACACCCTAGTATATAAGCGGTATATTGATGATATTCTAATCCTATGGAAAGATCAGCTGAACATTACTGCACTAGTTGATGATATCAATGACAACCCGTACAGCTTAACTATAGAAATAGACCAGGCACACCCTACAGAGGCTCACTTCCTAGACATTAGCATTATGATTGAGAGAACAACCGTCCATACAGAGGTTTATCGCAAACTGAGCTCAGATTGTTTACACATACCAGCATGGTCCTGTAACCCTCCACAGTACAAAGTCGCAGCTTTCAAAGCCTTCATCAAGAGAGCACATACGCACTCCTCTTCCCAAACAGCAATCCAGTCCGAAATGAAACTCAGAAAATATAGCCAAACAGCACAGATACCACAGGCTCATAGAATGTAATTGAATGTAATTGCATTAACTACAAGGATGAAATAGCTCTATCAATGGCCTGGCAGGCCTACTAGATAAATCTCTATGATAGAACACAACATGCATAACGCGCAAGTCCGTAGTGATGTCATCGGGTTGGGACATCATTCTGGATCATATTTCTCAACAACTTTGAACTGAAGTGCATTCCATCAAGGGATCGTTACCTAAAGAAGAACCATACGGTTCAAAAACTGAACACAAAAATACAACAGCAGGAAGCAAACTGTCACCAACTCTCCAATGTTACTCCAAGTAGCAACATCCCTATCACATGTAATCCGGTACTAAAATCCATATACAAGGAGATAGCTAGGAAAAATAATACCCGTATTACATTTAGAAGACGCACTATGATTTTTGATTTGTTATGAAACGGAAAAGACACCCCAGACCAAACTAAGCTTCCCAAATGTCTACACTATCCCTCATTGATCACAGGTGTGATAGAAACATGGTCAATATAGGATCAACCAAACGCCCCCTCGTAACCTGAATCAAAGAGCATAAAGCGGATATTAACCATGAAAGAACCAACACAGCTCTGGCTGTATACTCTTCGGACCCTGACATAGAACCCATATTCTCTCAAACAAAGGTCATTCACACCACCTACCACACAAACCATCTCAGATGGCTGGAGGAGAGATCTACATATGCCTAAACACGATTAAAGAATGTA